TTTCATCTTCAAAATTAGTTGGGGTTTTTAAGTGACTTTTGGAATGTTTATAGCTTTTTTTTTTAAAACAATTTGCTTAAACACAATTTGATATGTGCAAATTATTAAAAGTATAGTAATTGAATTAAAAGGTAGGTACATTTGTATTTAGTTAACTATTTTGCCATATAATCTTTGACAAAATTTGTAACTATTTGTATTCTCACTGGGAACATATGACAGTAACTCCCTTTTATCTCTGTTAACTGCGTTTTTAGAAAAAAGTCATCATACTTTGCTTTTGTTGTTCTGGTATGAGTAAAGTTAAATATTTTTTCATGCGTAGAAGAGTCTTTTCGAATTGTTTATTATGTGTTTTTCTCCATTTTATAAACTGACATGTGTTCTTGTTTTGTTATCAATGTGCCCTGCTCTAGTCCTTCAATAAGCCCATCACGCATCTTTACCATGTCATCTATAGGCACTTTTTCTATAGTGTTAAAAATGCCATTTCTTATGTAAGGAGGTCAGATGTCATTTTTTTCTCACTTGACATATGGAATCCTAAGTCACCACCTTGTTCATCACCTTCACTGAACATAGTGGCAGGCCAGAGGTTGTGCCAGGCATGCACAAGTGTGACCTTAGTCACCGTGTTCCAGGTGTTGGCAACAGCATATGTGGCATCCTTCATGCTATTCTCCTTTTTAAATCCTTCTACACCCACACCACTGTTCACTGCTGCTGACATGATGTTCTTTTTATATTTACTCTTCATTGATCTAAGGATACCCTGGTCATGTCACTGAATTAATGAAGTCACATTTGGGAGAAAGTACATAGCATAAACATTATTTTTGATGAGAATTGCAGCTGGAGGATGAGCCAAACAGTTGTTAAAGAATACACAATTTGGCAGTTGGCATCCAGTCTAGCTGTCCCACACTGAGTAAGAACTGCTGGTACAAAATTTAAGTGTAAGTCAGTCAGAAAAGATGTCTCTGGTGATCCATGCCTTCTTGCTAACATAATAATGGATTGGCAAAAAATTTATTACTTGAAAACAGAAGCAAGCTTTTACCTATCTTAGCAAGTTTTACGTTTAGGCATGCCTGTTGTATTAGCACATATGAGCAGAGTTATTCTGTCCTTGGCATCCTTAATTCCTGTAGGGTTTGTCACATCAGCTGTAGTCAGTATCTTCCTGTGGCAATAACATCAAAACAGTGATGTTTCATCAGCATTATTGACTTGTGACATCACATTTTCATGATCAGTGATACTTTATCACTGCAAATTTTTAAACACTTAATGCTGTGTCTTTTCTTAAATTTCTGCACCCAGCCTGTTAAATATTCAAATTTTCCTTCCAGTTTTCAGTTCATTGTGGTAGATCTTTGCTTGTTTTATGATCAGCAGATGCTGATGAATTCACTCTTTTAATACATGATTTAGATCTTCATTCTTAGCTTTAGGCAGTGGCTTTCTTTTTTTTTCATTTACTTTTGTTTATCACTTTAAGCATGGAACTTCAATAGTTTTTCCTTCTGTTTATTCGGTCATATATGGTAGTCATTCAACATCATACTTCTCTGTAAGATATTTTACACTTACACTGCTATTCACTTTCTCCAGCAGCTTGACTTTCTGCGTACTATAGGTGAACTGCAGTGCTTCTTCCTCTTCTAATGACTCTCACCCGTAGGCATATCTACAGGCCGTTCTAACATTTTCAACAATATCTTCAGACCACAGAGCAGAAAATAGGTAAAAGAAAACCCACAGTGAGTAATACGCATATGTCTTGGCCTTATGCAGGTTATGGTGGGGAACTTGCTCTTGGCATATTTGACTTGCCTGCATGCCATTTTATTACTCTTTTGTGAGTGTGCATGTGGTGGGGGAATCTGGGTGAGTGAGAAAGAGATATATTACAGGTGAAGGTGGCTGGAGTATTTTTTCGCTTGGTGACGCTGAGTAAAACTGTGTTGTTTGGCTGTCTCTGTTTTGATTGAGATCTTCACATACAATAGGTATGGAATTTTCCATTTGTGATGTCATGTAGGCACTTAAAAATTTTTGGATATTGGAGCATTTAAGGTTTTAGAATTCAGATTAGGGATGCTCATTCTGTATATATTTGGTATTAGTAGCACAAGACTGATAAAGAAAACTTAGATTGAATGAGATCACTTAAAGAAGTGTATGTAAAGCATGTTCTTCAATTTTATTTCTAATATACCTGTGTAATGTCACACTCCTTTAGTAAGTAATACACTGTAGTGGTCGTTTGGGGGAGGGCAGAGGCCGGTTGAAGGGATTATAAGGCAGAATACTTGGAATGTTGTTCAAGTAAAATTTGGAATTGTTCTCTTATATTTGTTTCTGAGACCTCTCTCCTGTGCAGAAACAAGAGGGACTAATAAAGAATCTTTAGGGTCTATTAGATTGCTAGGGCAATGAAAACACATTTTGTATCTTCAAATTTATAGTAATTTCTGGAATTTCAAAGCACATTCAACCTTTTAATTATTTTCAGTGATTGTGATTTGGTACTAAATATACATGTATTTAGGTGCCTAAGAGTGGAATAGAAACTAAAATAAACCTCCTGTAAGTCTGACTGAAAGGATGTTGAATCATCCCAGAATAGTCTTAACTATAGTAGGTCTTTAAGCTTTTTATTGAGTATTTATGTATGTGCTTTAGGTACATAATATTTTTACTGTGCATTTACAATGTCTTCACCAAAGTGGGAAAAAGGTGAAGGCATTCTGTGTGGGGACTCTATCCAACAACCAATTTTCTCATCACAACAAAATCTCCAGAGGAGGTTAGAGGTTTTTGGTAATAATGGGAAATCTAGTTCCTAAGTGCTAGAATTCTTTGTGCTATTACCTTTGACCTCAGGTGCTTTTTTCAGAGGCACTACAGCTGGGAGTATTCCTGGGAGTGTACTTTGAGATGGAAGAAATCATATCTACTTCTTTTTTTAGTGGTCCCATTGAAGATACCACTTATGGATGTTTAAATTGGACATTTTGAAAAACTTATTAGGAAACTTGAAAAAATCTTGACAGCATTTGAGCTTGGTTCTTCTCTAAGAACCAGGTAAAGAAACAATTTTTAAGTTCCTGTTGGGTGCTAAGGACTCCAGTAAACACTTACGTAAGTTTTTAAATAAAAGTTTTCTCAGACCAGAGCGTTGTTACAGCTGAGACTGGATGGAAGTTTAGTTTTCCACGATCTGTGATTAGTGACAATTTTATTTGCACTAAACCTCCAGGACACTGTTCTTTGTGTTTTAGTAAAATCTTCATTCATTTTTTTCCTTCTTGCAAACTCTTGGAATTTGAAGAAGATTGACCCTCCCACTCGTTCCCCACAGTTTTACTTAGGAATAATTGGTATACAAAAAACAGCATGTAATTAGTGTATATAATTTGGTGTTGAGACATATTCACTAGTATTCCTGTCATCATAATTCAAGTAATAAACATAACTCATCACTTGCAAAAGTTTCATTGTGTCCCTTTTTGTTGTTGTAAGAACACAACATCAGATCTGCCTTCTCAACAAATTTTTAAGTAAGCAGTACCTTATTGCTAACTACGGGCAGTATGTTAGAAGATCATCTGTGGAACTTACTCATCTTGTATAACCGTAACTTTTACTCACTGAATGAAAACTTCTCACATACTTATGCCCCCATCCACTGGAAAATATCATTAGGTAGTCTAAGATTTGATTCTTTACGTGTTATTTTTCTCTATTAAAAAAGTACAGGGGCCGGCCCGGTGGCGCACTGGATAAGTGCGCCGCTTGGGAAGCGCGGTGGCGCTCCCGCCCGAGGGTTCGGATCCCACATACAGACCGGTTCCCGCTCACTGGCTGAGCGAGGCGCGGGAGCAACACCGAGGGTTGCAATCCCGTTGCCGGTCCCTGGTCCGGTACGGGGGCAACACTGAGGGTTGCGATCCGTTGCCGGACACGGAAAAAGATAAAAGACAAAAAAAAAAAAGTACAAAAGAATGTCTGTCTGTGTATCTTGCGGTGGATGGTGTTGGAGTTAGTGTGTATGAAATATCTGAGCAAGAGCAGGGATTAAACAATTGAAAGACAGCTTATGGTAGTCTAAAAATTTCTTATAAAGATAGTAACTGATGAGTACAAATGGTAGGCAGTATTATTACTGTGGAGGTGCTATGTCCAATAGAAATGTATTGAGAATCACTAATGTGAGTCATATATGCAATTAAAAGTTTTCTAGTAGTCATAGTAAAAATGGTAAAAAGAAACAAGTGAAGTTAATTATAACTATTTATTTTAACATGATTAAAATAAAATTGTGAATATTTTATGCTTTTTTTGTATGAAATCTTTGAAATCTGTTGGTGTGTTTACACTCACATCTCAATTTGGGCTTGACACCTTTTTTTTCCTCTTTAATAATTTTTGTCTATTCAGGTTTTATATTTTCCAATAAATGTTAAAAGTATCAGTTTGTCAATTTACGAAAACACTGCTGGGATTTTTATCAGGAGGACATTAAATCTGTGGATTAATTTGAAAAGAGTTGATGTTCTGTCATGTTGAATCTTCCAATTTTGACACATTTCAAATGTTCAAAAATTAAATGTGGTTAATGGCTACTGAACTCAATAATGTTTCTCTTGGGTGTGTTTGAGAGTAATTGTTATATAAACAAAGACTAAAGTAACCACTTACATTTGTACCTTTTATATAAAGTTACTAAGAAGTTCATGATTATTTTATTGGGCAGGTTTTACTTCCTTTTTTTAATATATAGTAAAGCATTTAGATCATGACCATTGGCTCTATTAATAAATACTTGAGAAGACGTTTTTTCTCAGGAATGCTGAGAAAATGAAATATAGGAAAGACATGTGTTGTTTACTTTGATTCGTTTAGTAATCTCATGTAGACCATATACATTATCAAGAAGGAAATGCAGTTTAGGGTTTTGCTTCTTTTTTAATGTTTGTATTTTTCATTTTTAGGCTGTTCGCTGCTATGAATCTTTAATCTTAAAAGCTGAAGGAAAAGTGGATTCTGATTTCTTTTGTCAGTTAGGTCACTTCAACCTCTTATTGGAAGATTATGCAAAAGGTAACATTTTTCTCTTTTTGAATTTCTGCTTGATTTATGTTTGTATTATGTATTGTAATGGTTTTTGTTTTTTATTGGGGGTACTTGCTACTATTTTTACTTTCTTCTCATAAGTTCATAAACATGTAATAAACAATGAGAAAGAAGCTAAAGTATCTGTAAGTTTGAAAATCTCATGTAACTCCATGTAAATATTCAATAAATTTGATCATTCAGTAAACCTTATAACATCCTACATATGCTAACTGTAACCCTTCCCCCTCCAGACCAGTATCTTCATAGCAAAGAAAAACTATCTTATAAAGCAAGAATATTTTATGACTTTTTGATGGAAGTAAACATCTTGGTAGAAAGTAGATGGATATGTTATGATTTTCAGCAAATGTGGTTAGTGGAAAGAACAACTGACTAATTGTGTTAGGATTAGAATGAAGAGGTGGTGGTAGAGTAGATCCACTTTATCCTTGGGAGATGTTTCAAGACCCCTAGTGGAAGCCCAAAACCACAGATGTTATCAAACCTGATTGATGTTAATTGAAAAGTGTTAATTCATGTCTTCCACCCTCAAATTTAATGTTTTCTCCATCTTAACTAAGCACTCACACACACAGCACTCTGGCTATAGCTTCTACATTTTGAAGTGCAACTGCAAAACCTAGTATATATTTCTTTTTCTTTCATGACAGTTTTATGGCTAGATGATTTGTTCTTATTGTGGATCTTAGCAACCTTTCTTTTTTTCCCTTCAAGTCAAAACTTTTACTTTTTTACTTAAAGGAAGCAAATTACTGCTTCTTTTGGATATGTAGAATTGCCAGCATCACTGTCCTTGAACTTTGGGGCCATTAATTAAGCAAAATAATTTTTACTTGAGGGGCCGGCCCGGTGGCGCACTCGGTAGAGTGTGGCGCTTGGGAGCGCAGCGGTGCTCCCGCCGAGGGTTCAGATCCCATATAGAGACCGGTCCACTCACTGGTTGAGCGTGGTGCTGGCACGACACCGAGGGTTGCTATCCCATTGCTGGTCGTGGTATGGGCGCGACACCGAGGGTTGCGATCCCGTTACCCGTCACGAAAAAAGACAAAAAGGAAAAAAAATAATAATAATTTTTACTTGAGCACAAGCACAGTTGATCTGATAACCATGATGGCCAGTAAGTGACTAACAGGTGAGTAGGTTGTATAGTGTGGGTATACTGGACTAAGAGATGATTCATATCCAGGTGGGATGAAGGGCAGTGGTGTGAAATTTCTTCATGCTACTCAGAATTCTGTGCAATTTAAAACTTAGGAATTGTTTATTTCTAGAATTTTGTATTTAATTTTTTCATATGGTGGTTGACTGTTGGTAACTGAAACTGAGTAAGAGGGGACTGTTAGCAGAAAAGTTTCATGCCACATTTTTTTTTATTAGGTTAAGCCAATCTTATTAGTGAAATGCAATTTTGATTTGAGACAATATTCTGGGGTACTTGTGTTCCATTCACAACTTTACTATTTAAAAATTGTTTAAACTGATATTTATTTAATCTCTTTGCACTTTTATCTCATAATCTGAAAATTAGGAAATAATGATACGAGTTTTATTATTTATTTATTTATTTATTTATTTATTTGACCGGTAAGGGGATTGCATCCCTCGGCATGGTGCGGGGCACCGGCCATCTCTACATAGGATCCGAACCTGCCGCCTCGGCGCTACCAGCGCCGTACTCTCCCGAGTGAGCTACGGGGCTGGCTGGGTGATAGGAGTTTTAGAAGTGGTAAATGGAATTCTTCATATGTTTAAAATGGGCTTCATCCCAACAGGTGATTTTTACCAACATTGCTTATTTCTACTACTTTAGATATAACTAACATAGGTTAAAATGAAATATTTCAAAGGAAACTGATAGAAAAGAACAATACATAGGTTTTTCTATAATGCACTCAGGGTTTTTGTGTTTAACATGTAAATTTGAGAGCAAGTTAACAAAGACCCTGAACTGAAAAGTAAGTTTGTGTCAGACTGTCTTTGCTACTTAGTGGTCATTTAATGATAGGTATTTTTAATTTTTTAAAGCTTTGAGAATGAGAATTTAGTTATGTTTTCTATTTAAAAAGAAGGGAAAAGGGCTTGTATAATTTTTAGCTGTGAAGTCAATAAAGAATCCAGGGAAATTTGTTTGGTAGATATTTTTGTTTGTTTTGTTTTTTGTTTGGGGCATGCCATTGGGTGTAATCTAATGAGGACAGAGAAAGATAACTTTGGCATTTAGGTTTGTGATAGACGTTCTCTTGCTTCCAGTAGTATCATGTAGAGAATTAGCCTTTTGAGAGGTAGAGCTTTGCTTGATCATTTGTTAATAGAAAAGAAGAAAATGAATTCAAAGGCAGTTATGTATAGTTCATATTTCATGATGGGTTGAAAGTTTCCCAATTATAAACTCCCTGAGATTCCAGCCGTTGATAGTTTTCTCTCTTCTCTAATACCTTCAAGTAATTTGTTATTTGTTGTATGCATTGTCACTTTTGTTAAAAATAATTGGCTTTATATTTTTGGCTTCTTACATTTTCTAATGGTTAGGTTAAGTACTGTATAAAGAGTGACTAATGATGCCTGTTGAAGCTTAATGACCTTTTTCTCCAAACTCTTTTTCTTGCCTTTTGTCAGCTAGACATTGATGGGGTATTGGTAAAGATGTAGAATTTTGCTCTATATACAGAAATACTTTTTCTATGGACAGTAAAAGGTAAGTATTTATATTAACTATTGACCATAGCGTATACTATGGACAGTTTTCCAACATGTTTCTCTCCTCTTTCTCACTTGTGGTTCTCAAGAAAAACTGTAGAAAGTGTTCGGTCATCAGGTGGGGGACTGGCTGAACAGCCTGGGTTTTCTTCTTGTCTCCCCTGTGCCCATTTTTACCCAAACAAGATGGACTAGAGTTGAAGAGTTGGGTGATATGTTCTTTAAATGATTTAGCCCATTGAGGCATGTGACCCTGGTTATTATGAAATCAAAGCCAGGTTGCTTTTTGGGATCCCTCAGCTTAATGCAGGTAGGACTCACACAGATGAGACTCCATCTACCCTATGCATCTTTCCTGAGCCTTGAGGGATTAACTTGAAATGAATTTTTTGCTGCTTATCTGTAAGTAAAACATCTGCTTCATGTAATTTGTGTGCATGGGTATTTTGTTTCATCAGACCCAGACAAGTTTAACCAGAACACAATGAACCTGCTCCACATTATATGCAGTAGGTTCTTGTTATTTATGGTACTTGTATAAAGTTGTTGTGAACACTGAATTAGCAAATACTGAACCATTGCTTCTAAAGGTATATACAGGATGAAATTCTTATTTATTTATTTTATTTTCCCTTTTTGTCTTTTTTTTTTCGTGACCGGTAACGGGATCGCAACCCTCGGTGTCGCGCCCGTACCGCGACCGGCAATGGGATCGCAACCCTCGGTGTCGCGCCCGCACCGTGCTCAGCCAGTGAGCGGACTGGTCTCCACATGGGATCCGAACCCTTGGCAGGAGCGCCACCACGCTCCCAAGCGCCGCACTCAGCCAAGTGCGCCACCGGGCCGGCCCTAGGATGAAAGTCTTGTTAGCCTCTGATCACGTTTTCATTAACTGATCAGTACATAACCTTATTTTGTGTGTTTCTGTTTAATGTTACCTTATTTAATTTAAGTGTAGGTATAATCTTTAGTTGGGATGCTTGTTTTTTGTTTTAGGAGTTTTCTTAGTATGCTCTTGAAATTAAGCCTTTATCAGATATATCATTTGCATGTATTTTCTCCCATCATGTAGGTTTTCATTTCACTTTTTTAACCATATGCTTTGGTGCACACCGGATTTTGATTTAGATCAAGTCCAGTTTATTTTTTGTTTCTTTCGTTGCTCATGCTTGCGGTGCCATATTGAAGTAACCATTGCCGTATTCAAGGCAAAGATTTACCTCTATGCTTTCTTCTAAGATTTTTATGGTTTTATTTCTTGTATTTAGGTCACTGATTATTTAGTTATATTTAATATATCGCATGAGGCAGTGGGCCAGCTTTATCCTTTTGAATGAGAGAATTGAATTGTGCTAGCACCGTTTATTGAAGAGTATGTTCTTATCCCATTGTAGGCTAGCACGCACACAGTCAAAAATCAATTGATCATATATGTAAGAGTTTATTTCTGGATTCTCAATTCTATTCTGGTGGTCTTTATTTCTGTCCTTCTGGTACTTACACAGTTTTGATTACAGTAACTTTGAGGAACAAGTTAGTTGTTTTCGTGTATCATATTTAATGTCCTAGGTATTTTATGTTCCTCACTGCCTCTAATACTGCTTTCTTTTGCTAGTTTAACTTGTGAATTTAATCAATTTGATGGATTTCTTTTTAGTGTATTGTTTCGATTGTCATTTTTTTCATTTACCATTCTGCCCTCAAACTGAATACTTTAAATGACTATCTTTTTAAGTTTGCTGATTTTTGTCCTTTAGGGAATTTTTCATTTTAACTATTGCTTCTCAGCTCCAGAATTTCTATTTGATTTCTCTTTGAAGTATCTGTCTTTTATGAATAGTCTCCATTTGTTCACACATTGTTCTCCTGTTTTCCTTTAGTTTTTATCCATGGTATTTTTTAGCTGTTTGTCTGACCATATTTAATGCAGTTGGTTTAAAGCCTTTGTCTACTAATTACACTATCTGGGCTTTCTTGGAACTGGTTTCAAAAATTTTTTTCTTTTTTTAAAAACTGTGACTGGGCTATATTCCTTATTCTTATTAAGCCTGGCAATTTTTTAGTTGAAAACTGGCCATTTTGGATATTATAGTGTAGTAACTTTGGAAATTAGATTTGCCCTCCTCTACATAGGTTTGCTGTTGTTTGATTGTTGAGGGCTGCAAGTTTTGTATGGTTAATAACTTCTGAACTTTTTTTTCTTTTTGCCGAGACTGTATTCCTTGTTCTGTGAAGTTACCGAAACTTTTGTCTCATTATCTTAGTAGCAGTGACCTGAGAGATTTCTTTAAATCCCTGGAACCCCTTCCCCCCCCCCCCAAAAAAAAAAAAAATTTCATTAAAACTGATACTAAAGAAGCTGCTTGAGAATCATAATCAATTTCTCAATGTTTCCAGTATCTTTCATGTAATGAAGAGAAAAAAGCAGCAGCAGAAGCCATCACTCATATATCCTCATTAAGTCATGTGAATTATCACCACTTAACGCCCTAACATTGATGGATTTTGATTATTATAAAAGATCTTCCAACCCCATCCAGCACTGAAAACTCAATGAAGGCAGATATCCCTTCCTAGAGTACTCCATCAGTATTCGGCCACACTGGCTACAACTCTGTCTTAGCCTTCACCTCCTGCTTGGGGAGAGCAAAGATCAGTCTCAGTTACAAGCTTTGAATTCCATCAGATCTTTTATGAGCATGTGAGCATGTGTTCAGCCGTCATTGTGTGTATTTTATTCCGTAAAATATCAGGTAGCTCTTTAACAAAATCCTTATCACCTCAAGAATTTTCCTCTTCATTCTTCTACCAGACTTTTAGATCTATCTTCTCCTTGCCCCATTTGCCATCCTTTGTAACAGGTGGCCATGGGTTGTGTATGTCTTTAACTGCTTTAATACATGCTGCTTGGAAAGGACTGCAGCTCGAGTTGGAAAAATAAATGACAGCTTCTGTGTAAGTACCTCAGTGAACTGTCAGATAAGTCAAAATACTGCTGTGATTTTTTGAGAAAAAAGATCGTGTTTATTCCTGTTGTCATCAGGAAGCCATACCAGAAAAATGGGCTGCCGTTCCCATGGCTGCTGCAAACTGAGGATAGGGTTGATAAGATGGGTAGACAAAAATGATGTGATGCTGTCTTACCGAAATTTAGCAGTCCTTTTCTCTATTAAACAAAATAGTTTGGAAAAAGTTGATTCTGTCACTTTTCTCTGCTTTGTGTCAGTGAAGGCGCCAATTCTTGGAGTTCCCTGATGCATCCATTTCAGTTATTACTCCCAGTGGTAACATCTTGCAAAACTGTAGTATACACAGCAGGATATTGTGTGTTGATATACTAAAGATAAAGAGCATTTCTATCACCACAGCATTCCTCATGTTGTACTTTTATAGTCATATTCATTATCTTACTACCCCTTCCTTAACTCCTGGCAACTCTAATCTGTTTTCATTTCTACAATTTAGGCATTTTAACACTTCTGTAAAAGGAGGCATAAGTTATGTAAATTCAGTGCATTGACTTATCATCATTCAGCATAATTTTCTAGTGATTCATTCCAAGTATATGAATGCACTGAATTGATAATTGAATGATAGTTTATTGTATTGATAGTGTATATCAGTAGTTCTTTTTTTATTACTAATATTCCATTTGTTTGTGCTACAGTTTGTTTAACCATTACTATTAAAGTACATCTGTTTTTGGTTGTTAAGAGTAAAGATTCTGTGAACCTTTGTCCACAGATTTCGTGTGAACACAAGTCTTCATTTCTTTGGGAAAAATGTCCAGGAGCACAGTTGTTGGGTTATAATGTCATTGCATGTTTAGTTTTTTTCAGAAACACTGCCAAGGTGTTCCAAAGTGTGGCAGTGCTGTATTACATTCCCACCAAGATTTCTCTGCATCTTATTGGCATTTAGTGTTGTTACTGGTTTTTACTTCAGTCATTCCGATACATTATGGAGTTTGTCAGGCATGATTAGAAAATTTAAGAGTAGAATACTTACCTTTATTTTGCTTATTGGGTTCTTCCTTTCTGGTATTCCATGGTCCTGGCCTTCATCATTTTCTTTTTGTTCAGACAGCTTCCTCTGGCTATTATTTTATTTTATTTTATTTTTTATTTTTTTTCCCCATAAATATATACATTTATTATTTGTCAATTAAAAATTAAAAAGCAAAACAAAAAACAAACAAGAAGAATTTTAGCAGTCTTAATGCCATTAAGAATTCTTAAAACTAATGGGAAATCTTTCTCTTATGTGCTCTGGCTATTATTTTAGAATAAGTCTGTTGACAACAAGTTTTCTTTCATTTGAGAAAGTCTTGATTTCTCCTTTATTGCTAAAGGATGTTTTTGCTATATATAGGATTCTGGGTTGACAGTTCTTCAACACTTGAAATATTTTTTGCCCCTTCCTTCTGCTTTTTATAATTTTGGTTTAGAAATTAGCTGTCTGTGATTTGCTTTTCATGTGTCTTTTTTTCTGTGGTAGGTTTCAAGATCATTTCTTTTTCTTTGTTTAGTTTTCTCACTTTATGGTGTGACTCTTGTGTTTTTTGGGGGGAGGGTATGGGTGTGTATCAGGTTTTGGGTTTCTCAGTCTCTTGAATTTGTACATCCATGTCTCTTGCCAAATTTGGAAAATTTTCATACCTGTCTTTGTATACTTTTATTAGGTCTGACTCTTTTTCCTTTCAGACTGTGATGAGTCCTATATCTCTTGTTACTAATCCACAAGTCCCTGAAGCTGTGTTTATTTTACTGTCCTTAGTCTATATTTTGCTCTGTTCCTTTTTTTTCCCCTCTCTCACTCTGTGTGTATTTCAGTGATTCTTTCCTATGTTTGCATTGTGTTATTGAGGCTATCAGCTGAGTTCTTTATTTTGGTTATTGCCTTTAACAGTTCTAAAATTGACATTGATTCTCTTTTATATCTTTTGGTTTTTGCTGAGGCTTTCTAGTTTTTCTTTTTTTTCAATCATTTTCATAATTATTATTTGAAGCATTTTTATTATTTCAGTTTCAAAGTCTTTATCAGGTAATTCAAACATCTCTGTCATTTTGATATTCTCATCTGTATTTTTTTATTCAGTTTGATATCTTCCTATTTCTTGATGTGATGAGTAATTTTTTTGATTCAGTCTTGGAAGTTTTTATATTTTGTTATACGACTTTAGATCTCTCATGTTAATCTTTTGTTTTAGGTGTCTTTTTGTAAAATCTGTCAGAGTAAGTTGGATTACTACCTCTTATTGCCATGTGAGGGTTGAGTCCACGTTCTTTACTCAGTTTTTAATGTGCATCCCTTGTTGATGTTGGACTGGGATGAGAGTTTTGGCTTCCCATATGGTTTCACTGATACTGCATTTGATTGGTTTCATTATTCATGGGCAGTTGTATTCATGGGTGAAAGTACTGACTTCCATCAGGGCACTCTGACTCCACCCAAGTATGGAGGAGCAAGGTACTTCGTTTCTGCTATGTAGGTATGAAGTCTGTCTAGGTTTTTTTTTTTTTTTTTGTCTTTTTTTGTGACTGGCAACGGATCGCAACCCTCAGTGTTGCGCCCGTACCGGACCGGGACCGGCTACAGGATCGCAACCTTCGGTGTTGCCCCCGCTCCTCACTCAGCCAGTGAGCGGCTGGTCTGTATGTGGGATCCGAACCCTCGGCGGGAGCGCCGCCACGCTTCCCAAGTGGCGCACTGTAGCAGTGCACCGCCCGGCCGGCCCCTGTCTAGGTTTTAAAGTACAGCAAACTCTTGAATAACAAGGGTTTGAACTGCGCTGGTCCATTTATAGGTGATGTATCTAACCAAAGAGTTAAGTAGACTATCGTAGGCTATTAAGTACTTAACTATGTAGGTAATGATGCAGTGCCCTTCCAGAGGCTTGAGGTGCTCAGTGGGGCAGTGACTCAGCAGTGAGCTAGGGAAAGTACCCCATGAGTCAAAAATTATATGCAGATTTTCTACTGTGCAAGGCTTGGTGCCCCTACCCCCTGCTTTGTTCAAGGGTCAGCTATAAATATTTTAGTGAGCGAATTCTCAAACTTGGGATGTAGCCTATATTGTAGAATGATGCTTACCTATACTACTGTCTTGAGCATCAACTTTGGTTCTTTTAAAATTCTGTCCTGTTATTTTATAATATTTGAAAGCACGTTTTCCTCAAAAGACTTTTCTTTAACTCTTGTGGTTAAATTTATAAAAACCTTTTGGAAAATATTTAAAGTTTTATTGTAAAAATATCTGAAATTCATAAAAAAGGCTCATTAAAGACATAAAAGTTCTCAGCCTACTACATAATATCAAATCTTTTTTTCCTTTGGTGTTCCCTTCTGTTTTCAATTTATTTTTGAAATTAAAAAAAAAAAATTAAAGGTAATGTTCAATGCCACCTACATTTTGTCTTAAAAGTTTATCCACAGGGAACTTTAACAAATAAATGCTTAGCCATTATTCAAAGAGATTCTGAGTCAGCTGGACCAGTAATAGGGTTTCCTGTTTTTATTGTTGTTGTCCTCAATAGTTGTAATGGGTTGTGTGACTTTACTATCTTTTTACTTTATGTGCCTTTTTTTAGGCTGACAAGGAACTAATTTATGTGATTTGAGAACCTTTTATGCCTTTATATGGATTATGAGACAGGGGATAAATATCTTGGAATTTAATTTAATAGCCTAATTTAATGTTGATTGTGTGAAGGGAAGCATCAGAAATAAGAGTTAACTTTGCCCCTTATGTTGCTGAGATTTTAATTTTTCTAGGAAGTGAATTGCATGTTAAGAAAAAACTAGAAGATTCATTATAGTGTGCAGTAGTTTTGGTCCCTGAGGGATATCAAGTTGATTCAAGTAATTGCCAAGATTTTACATGTATTTAAGTGCATAGGTGAGATTAGATTATTGTGTCATGTATCTGAATAAATTGAAAGGCCACAAACTTTAACTTATTTGGTCTTTATATTATTGCTTATTGAGGAATGGGTATGGTTGGCAACTTATGTTAAAATATTTCTTAATATTTTACTTTAGATTTTTAAATGGGATATAATTTGACTAATAATTATCTTCCCTTTTCCAGCATTATCTGCATATCAGAGATACTACAGTTTACAGTCTGACTACTGGAAGGTTGGTACAGATTTGAAAGCTAATTTTCTTTTCTTTTTTGGGGGTAGTTCGTATTCAAAATATATTTAAGTCTGTTTTTATTAATGGCAATATACTAATTCTAAGGAGAGAACATGGAAAGGCGAAAAGGTATTTTTCGAGTATGAGCATTTTGCAAAAAGTGCAAAATTGACATGACTTCCTTTGTATAAACCTTTTAATTGGTATTTTTTTGGAATTTTATTGGCAAAAGAGAACATAAATGTGATAATTTAAAAGTAAACAAATTTAGGGAAAAAACTCAAACGCTGTTTCTTCTTTAAGTTCATAGCTGAGAGTAAATGAAGGATGGTTGGTGATCATGCTAAAGATGAGGTTACTCAAGCAAAGGAGCATCTATCTTTCTTATAATTTCTCCATGACTGGATCCCTGGAGAGGACCAAAGTATCTATTTTAGAATACCTCTCTAAATGAAGTAACTGTGTATAATGATGAGTCATCCACGGTTTTATCTCAGGTTAAGCATAAAGCTAAACTAGCAGATTATTCTTTTATAGCATGTATACTTTTGAGTATGGTACAAATAGTTTAATAGGTGATTTCTCAACAATATGCATTGCTATACCACAAAATACATTTATCCTGTAATAAAATATAACTTATAATACTAAGTTTAGACATAAACTGTGAGGATTAGTTACAAATAAAAGGGAAGTTTTCTATTAGCTACAGACTTTGAAAGCCTATTGATCCCAATATAAAAGTAAAATTGTTGCTGGCTTTTGTGAATTACTTGAATCGGAAATAAACATAATTAAAAATGAAGGCTACTTAGTCTAAAAACATGCGTAATATTTATTTTGATTTATTATTATTTTTATGTTACAGCATTATAGACATGTACTTTATAGAATTCAGTAATTTAAAGTGTGTGATTCAATAGTTGTTAATTTATTCATAGTTGTGCAGCCATCACTGTAATTCTAGAATATTTTCATCATATCAAAATTAAACAATGTACCCTTCTGTCTCTCCCATGAAGGAACCATTAAGTTAATTTCTGTTTCTATATATTGGCCTATTCTCAACTTTTCATGTAAAATAAATCATAAATGTGGTATTTTTGAATGGCTTTTTCCACCTAACATAATGTTTTTAAGGTTCATCCATGTTGTTGCATGTATCAGTATGTCATTACTTTTTATGACCGGATAAATTACAGTGAATGGGTATTCATACATAACAGCATTTCAGTTAAACAGTACTGTTTTTTCTGTTATTCATTGATGGATACTGTATTAGTCTGTTTCTTTTTCTTATAACAAAATACCTGGAACTGGGTAATTTATAAGAAAACAAAGTATACTGCTTACGCTTTCGGAGGCTGTGAAGTTCAAAATCCACATCTGGTGAGGGTCTTCCTTGGTGGTGGCTTCCTTTACACAGGGTAACACATTGGGAGATGGGGGAAGCAGAGAGAGACCTCATTTTCTCTCCTTTCAATGCCCTCAGAACCATGCCTATGACCACCATTAAACCATCAACTTAATCACCTCTTCAAGGCCTGTCTTCAGTTACTGTAATAGGATTTCCAAGCCTCAACAGTTACAGTAGGGATTAAGCTTTGGGGGAACATTTGTTTTTCCTTGCTTGACTTCCTTTGTATAAACCTCAGCATTTTTGCTGTTTCACTTTATCTCCTGTATTTTCTTAGCTCTGCTTCTTTATTTGTTTTGTTTGGTAGTATTATCTAGATTAGGATTTTCAGTCTTGGCAGTATTAACATTTGGGGCAGATAATTCTTTCTTGTAGATGCCTGTCCTGTGTAGGATGTTGAGCAGTTTACCTGGCTTCTACTTTGTAAATGGTAGTGGCACCACCAATTTACTAGTTGTGTCAGTGAAAATGTCTCTAGACATTATCTAATGTCTGTGGGAGGCAAAATTTCCCATGATTGATACTCACTGCTCTATGTATTTCAGAATGCATTTTTGAGTTATTAGGCTGACCTTTTTTAAAAAATTTGTTCTGCTTACTCATTTGTATTATAACTTTTGAACAGTATAATTTTATTTGCCCTTACCTTTTAGTTTTTTGGCATTTTGCTTCACAGCTCAATAATTGGAGTTGTCTTTTTTTTTTTTTTTTTTTAAGTGCAGCCATTCACTTGGCATGTAGTGAGTCCCAGGGTGGTGCATTATCCTAAGGGGTAGTGATGTTGGCCATGTTTTCCTGTGTGTTATCAATTTCCACATTTTTTTTTGATGAAGTGGCTTTGAAATCTTCTTGCCCATTTTTCCCCCCTTTGGCTTTTTTATTTTCTTAATATGGTTTTGAGATAGTTTTTTTGTTGGATATGTAATTTTCAGATATTCTCATATAGTTGGTAGGTTTTAAAGAAATTTTTTTTACAGTGTGTTTCTTAGGGTGAACACTTTATTTTAGTGATATATAATTTTTAGTTCTTTTTCTTATACGAATTATGATCTTGGAGTCTTTTCTAAGAATTCTTTAGTTAACTCCAGTTACTTAGATTTTCTTGTTTCTTTGTAAAAATTATAAGTTCTGCAAACAAGAATGTTTGATTTTTTCCTTTCTTATCTGTGTGGCTTTAGTCTTTCTTTGTTACATTTGCATGTAATTTCAGTATGCTGATGAATATGAGTGGTTGAGGAGAATGATTTGCCTTTATTTCCTGTCATGGGGGAGAGTATTCATCTTTCAGCCTTTGATAGGATATTGTTGTGGATTTTCTTCTAGATGCCTTTTTATCATGTTTAGGGATTTCTGCTCTACTTCTCAATTGATGAGAGTTTCTTTCCACGAATGTATGTGTGTGTGTGTGTGTGTGTGTGTGTGTGTTTAATGCTAAATTAGTCTTGGATTCCTTGGATAAACTCCAACTGGTTATAATGTGTTATTTTCTCTGTGTCACTGGATTTGACTTGCTAATATTTTGGATGTAATATTTGTATTTTTTTCCCATTAGCAATACTGGTATATGGTTTTATGTTTCTGTGCTGCCTTTATTTGGTTAAGGAATAAGGGCAATACTCAGCTAATAAAATGAATTTAAAAGTCTTTACTCATTTTCTATATTATTAATTTTCTGGAATCGATTGCATAAAATAGGTGATGCTTAAACATATGGTAGAATGCTCTAGTAGAATCATCATGGCCTATAGATGTCTTTAAAAAAATATTTTAAATTCTGAGTGTTTAAACACATATTGGGCTCTTTGGGCTATCTGCTTTCTTCTTAGGAGAATTTTGGTTGTTTTTGTCTTTCAACGAGTTGGTCTGTCTTATCTGAATTATGGAATTTCTGGCCCCAGAGTTGTGTTTTCAGTTCCTAATATTCCTTTATTTTTATTTTGTATTTTTGCTGGCTGGTACAGGGATTGAATCCCAGACCTTGATGTTATCAGGAACCACATTCTAACTGGCCAGCTTTCTAATATTCTTTTAATCTTAGTGGGATCAGATATGATAGCCCTTCTTTCATTGCTCATATTGGTAATTTGTGTTTTTTCAGTTTTTACTTTTCAGTCTGGCTAGAGGTTTTTTAATTTGTTTATTCTTTTGTGGTTGAGAAATTTTGAAGTGTGTATTCTCATTTTGTTTTATTTAAAAGCGTCATTTCCTTTGACATTTTCCATGAATTAGGGAGGTGTTATTTACCTGTCATATATTGGAGATTTTCCAAATACCATGCTGATACTTTTATGTTTGACCTACATATATTATTATTTTAAACATTGACAGTGGGAATTTTTCTTTCTTTATTCTGTTTTAAAAAATATGTTTAGACAATTTGCATTTTATGTAATTATTGATATGTTTGGATGTAGGTCTCCTATTTTATTGTTTTCTATTTGTGTTCTCTGTTGTTTATTTCTCTCTTTTTCTTATGTTATACTGTTCTGGTTTTTTAAAATTCCAGTTTAGTTTTATAACTTTTTGATACTATAGATTATGAAATATTTTTAAGTTAGTGGTGGCTTAGCATAGGTGTAATTAATTTAAGAGTCTATATATAATTACTATTTGTGGTGGTTAATTTTATGTATCATTTTGATTATCCCTCAGGGTACCCAGATATTTGGTTAAACATTATTCTAGCTGTGTTGTGAGAGTGTTTCTGGATGAGATTAACATTTCAATCTCTGAGCTGAGTAGTTTGCCTTCCCTTATATAAATGGCCTCCTCATCCAGTCAGCTGAAGGCTGTCTGAGAGGAACTTCTTTTGCTTGACTGCCTCTAGTTTTCCTGAGTTCGAACTCAGGCTCTCCTGGTTCTGAGGCCTTCGGATGTAAACTGTAACTGCACCCACTGGCTTTCCTGTGTCTTCAGCTTGCTGACTGCAGATCTTAGGACTTGTTAGCCTCCATAATCCTATGAGCCAATTCCTTATAATAAATTTTTCAGCCAGCCAGTCTGTCTATGCATCCATTGACACACATCCTATAGGTTCTTTTTTCCCTCAGGAGAACCATGAGGAATATAGATTTTGGTGCCAGGAGTTGTTTTAGAACAAAATCTTTTTTTTTTTTTTTTTCCTTTTTGTCTTTTCTCGTGTCCGGCAACGGATCGCAACCCT